GAAAAAAAAAAAAAAAAAAAAAAAAAAAACAAAAGAAAAAAGTTGCAAATGTGAAATATTTGAATGAACAGTTTACAGCAACAAAGAGCTTTACAGATTTCCCCATCAGCTATTGAAAAAGATGTGTTCACTTCAACCCTGTGTTTCTTTAAAACTAGAAACCTGTATTAGTCATTTTTAATTTATAAAGAATTTAGTGGTTTAGGAGGTGGGAGGAACCTGGGGAATAAGTGTAGCAACCCACACACAAAACCACAGAGGAACTTTTGGCATTTATTCTAAAACCAGTCATGCAGCTTGAAGATTGTTGCACTGTTGAGATTTAATTATATATAATGCTGTCACCTTCAAGACTTTTTAATTCCCAGCCTCCTAAGTGCAATAAGTAACAGAGCTGCAAAAAAAGAAATTGCGGGTTGGGGAATGCAGCAAGGAGAAGCTGAATTCAAGTTTGTTTGTTTTTGTTCCTTGGAGCACAATTACCAAACTCTTACCTTTCCTCTCAGAGATCCTCCTCCCCCAGTCATAATGACATAGCTCAGAGACAGCAACACATTTGTAGGCTGCGTGATGCAAAACAAAATCTATAGTGAAAGAGGGGGACTTTTGTTTTGTGTGCGTGTGTGTCGTTTGGGGGATTTTTTTTTTCCTCTCTCTAAGAGCAGTCCCTCTTGCACAGAACTGGGCCGTTCAATCAAAGCCTTATCTGTTATATTTCTGTCTGTCTTTCTCTTCTGTTTAGTGCATTCACCAACAAGAGAAAAGGGGGTAAAGCAATGGAGGCTTTGACCTGCAGCTGTAACACAATACTTTCGCACAGCCCTGTCGACCCCTGACATAAATTTTTAAACCGCAGCTGCCATTTACACACTTAACATTACCATATGTATAGCCTACTCTGTGCTAATTATGCTAATCACCTGTCTAACTCTCTGCTGCGAAAAATGGTTGTATTTAGCAGTCCACTGCCTACCAATACAGCTTACTGTGTGGCTGAAATGTACATTCAGATGGCCCTGAATGGCAAGATTTTTCCACGTTGCTGGCCTCATTCAGACCACAGAAAAATTTATTCAAGTCAACTGGTTTCGGTCCGCAACAAAAAAGTTACGAGAAAAAAGTGAGTGTGTTCCTGCCCTAACATTCTAAGTCTGCTTGCAAGCAAAATGATAAATCAATTGGTGTGGGAAACAAAAAGGGAGAAAGATTTCTTTTGCAAGCCATGTGAAACTGTAGCCTATTTAAAAAAAAAAAAAAAAAAGAAAAAAAAAGGAAAAAAGAATTAAAAAGGTCATCCTATTTCCCCAAATCTCTAGAGAGAGCAGTTAATAGCTGTTTAGGCCTGATCACAATTCTCTCAACTTGCTAGCTTTTATCTACAATTCAAAGTCATAATAAACATGTTTTAGTTGTATTTTGTTTCTTGAGCTTAATAACTGGCACTAGAATATCATATTTTCTATTATTTGCCTCATAAAGAGCATCTGTTTCTAAGCAGCAATGGCTTCTTTTATGAGCATAGCTTCCTCTCAAAAAGTCAGGAGAATAAGAATGGTGTAAATGAAATCAGAATCAGGCTCAAGTGGACAATCAAGACAAAAGCACAAGAAAGAGGAAAGCATGTTCTTTTAGTAAATGGTATACTTTTTTACCATTATAGAAAAGGTAGCTTACAAAGCAGAATGTAAAGACACAATTTGTGGGTTTTATTATCTTATCATAGTGTCAGCGGAAAGGGAGAAGTTAAAAGAGTTCCTAAAGCTTATTTTTCTTATGGCTGTCTCACTGAGGAGACTACTCTGAGATCTGCATTTGGATTACATTCCTGTAGCTATTTAAACACAGTTTATCATGTACAAATAAGTTTCTATAGCCCCTTTTCCCGCTACACACATCTAAGGAAGCTGTAGCAACTCAGAGATTTGTCAGATAACCCAAACGTAGATCTCATTACTGCATCACCCTGGGCAATTTCTTTTAGGTCAGATTTGTGGAATCTCCTTTCAGCTACTTCATGTGTTATAAAATGACATGTTCATATACAAAACAGAAAAATGTGCAAATAAACCTCCTGTATCTACTGCTGCCTCTGACAAAGATAAGCACATTGGAAGGTAATTCATTCTTAATACACACCAAAAGATATTTAATTAAAACAAGAACAGCTCTGCAATGTTTATATCCAGAAGGTGCAGTAACACACCCAGTTTTTCCATTACACAGACGGAGGTCAAGGACAGCCCTATGCCTCTGCCATCCTGCTTCCCATCCTTTGTCCGCCCTGGTTCCATGTGCATGAGAGTGCTGCTGACAATCAGGTAAAGTGAAAGTTTTGCCTGTTAGCGATAGCCTTTGCTTTTCTCTAATATTTTACATATTACATCCTCGTTTGACTAAATTAAGTAGCTTCTGCCAAGCCACATCTTGCTCCCTAGCATCTAAGTTTCAGTTATTACTATCTGCCGGTCCAAAGCACTAATTTATCTGCACTCTTTTAGCTCCAAAATACTGGCTGTGCAGCCAAAAACACAAATAACACTACAGCTACTGTGCTTATTTCAAAGTGTGTGGATTTCCCCCCGCCTTTTTCTCCCTCTTTTTTTTCCTGTTTTCTTCCCTTCCCCCCTGCCTTTTTTTTCTTTCTAAATAGGAGATGGACCACCCTGCTCTCATGGCACAGAACACTATTTACACTGCAATACTTGACTGTGTAATACATCTGGCATTTTTGGGCAGGATTCCTGAGTGAGGGGCCAGAAGCCCTTAAGTACTGATAAAATAAATTGATGGGGGGGGGGGGGGGGGAATCATGCAAGTTGACTTAACAGTGCTCATTTCTAGTTTGTTGCACTTAGCTTTTGGTTACTGACTGAAATGCAGAAATGTATCAGACTGGTAAACAAGAGAAGGCTGTTTCTTTTAATTTATCTAACTGTTAATAAATGAAGGCCATATTCCAGTTTAAGGGCTCAGTTCCAGCTTCAGGTATAAGGGTGTTCAACACTGCACATGTGTCTTAAAATACCAGCTTTTTCTTGCAAATGAGCAATATACAGATGTTTCAAATATACAAATGTTTCAAATATACAATGATGACTTGTGTATTTGAAACTGGAAAGAAGTTCTGTACAATTCTCTAAAGGAGCAGCACCTTTGCAGAAGGAGTCAGGTTATGATTTTCCTCATTCCCTTACCTCTTATATATTTTGCTCAAGAACCGAAATAACTAACTCTTCACAAAACCAAGCAGACATTAAAGCCAAAACATTCATTCTAAAAACCAAAATTAAAATTGTCCACGCATCGAAATGTAGATATGGTCAGCAATTTCTATAAAGGGCTTTTTACCTCAGAAAACTACTACTTCTGCCAAATTCAGGATGTTTACAGCAGTCGAGGTGATGCTGAATAAAAACAACAGAAAAATAATAGCAAGTAAATTGTATTTATGGGCACTAAAATTTCCTGTTAAAGAAAAAACAAGTTTATACAGCTAAGAAAAATACATCATATTTTAAAATTCCAAATTCAGCATTATTCCCTGCAATTCTACTCCATCTATTTCTAGTAAAACCCTGCAACGTAAAATAGGCCAACATTATTCCAAGTCGACATCACTGGACGAACACAGCTTATTCTATCTGGCATCCATCGTTCATATTTAGCATATTTTAAGTAGAATAATAAAATAGTATAGATTATGCAAAACAGGAGTAAAACATTTTCCTGTTCTCCTCCTTGATTCACAGACAGAAAAATAAAGCAGCTATTTTAAGATACTATGCATTTTCAGTGAAGAGAAATCATACTTCATATTACTGGGCTCTCTCTTTCGAGGCACCACGTCAGGAATCTGCTCCTTCAGTGAGGCATCAACAGTAGAATACTGATAGGCATAGCGCCTATCAGTAGCAGCAAAAGCTATGCATCCTTCTGAACTCTGACAGGAGACTACACTTCTTACTGCAGAACTGCCACTTAATGGTTTAGAAGTTGTACTGGTTTCTTCTGGTTTTCCCACACAGTTACTAACAAACACACATGGAGAAAGACCTTCTGCATAATACAGGTCTTGAGAGATTAGAGAATCGAAGAGAATCAAAGCTATATTGAGGATAAGTACGGAAAACCAAGAAAAATATATACACCACTGTAATCACACAGGGTGGGCATAAAGAACAATGAACTGCTCAGTGGAATTCCACACTTCCGCCTGAACCCCCAAAAGAGCAGCCAGGACCACAGATATCCATCCACACCTTCATCTACAGAGACAGAAAACACTATGCAAAGACTGGAAGATTGAACTTTATTCTATATGCAGGAGAAAAAAAGCCTGACAAGGAACAGTGCTGCAACATCTATAACCAAAACAGTGCTTTAACTATAATCAGAATATTCTTAAATAGCTAGCTGTGGGGCAGAAAACTTTACAAGCGCTGTTTTACCTGAGCACTCACAGGCTGAAGAGCATAATTCACTGTTATTTTAACAGGAGTCGTGCATTAAAGTCTACGAGTGTCAAGATGAGAACTTACTCCATTAGACACCAGAAGGAAAGCAACTGCAGACACATTAAAACTAGCATCCTAGTGGACACAGCTCTAACAGGTCATAGGGAGGTCAGCTTTGAAGGAGAAATCCAAATGAAATATAAACATGGCATCATGGAAAGCAGACAAATCTCCCATAGCTTTGTCCAGCCAGCACTAATCTAGGCATCAGCTGTGGTGCATAACCTAAACAAAGGGATCAGTTGGTTCATACATCTGGAAGCTTTCATATTTTGGAGCCTCCTAACAGTTATGTGTAACTAAAACATCCACTTGCGTGTAATAGTCTTTAAATGTGTTGAGTGGTCAAGAATGGTTGCATGCACACAACGTGAAGTATTACTACTTTCTGGGGAGCCACCACAAATACTACTTAATAACAAGGCTTGGACCATCTCTTCCCATGGAAAAAAATAAATCATGAAAATAGATGGATCCAGGATGAGGATTTAGAGTTTTCCTTAATGCACTTTCTGCTGAAAGCAATTTTGAGTGGCCATTGCTTTTAGCATTCACTCTTGTCTGAACCCAGTGTCTGCTGAGAAATAATGAGGAAGGAAGGCCCGTTCTACTAAAAAAGAAAAAATCCACTTACCAGGTAACAGGAGATAGTAACAGGCCTCAGACCACTCACCAGCACCTTTACACGGCACCACAACTCCAGCAGGAGCCATACACACTGCTGAGTGAACCTTACGTACATTCCCCCTGTACCTGCTCAGCAGCAGTGGCAGAGGGTGACCAACAGGAAAATAACGTGGCTTTCAACTGTACCATTTCACTCCTGAACTTCTATACAGAAATCCCAAGCTCTCCAGTGCTGCAAAAATGCCCTCTCACCTTGCTCATGACCAGCAAAATCCCCAGGGTGCTGGGATTCTCTCAAAACTCAGAAGAGGAGGGGAACAGTGCCACCACAACAGTGCCCTCTCTCAAGCATACAAGTTTCAACAGAAAAGAAAAACAGACCCTTCCAGACGAGGATCCGTAGAGCAGGTTCTGCCACAGACATTAGCCACAATGTGTTAAGTTTTGAGATAATAACAAAGATTAATGTACTTGAAGTTCCAGAAAATTCAACTTCCCTGAATTTTGAAAGGCAAGCAGGAATCATGCTACTGTGCACTTAGAGCACAGGAGGGGTGTCAGCACTGCAAAACAAGGTCCTCCTCTTGCCATTCCCAAAACAGGAACGGCAGGGCACCTGACATGTATTGCCTGGTGCAGTTTTGTACAAATGCTGGGCAAAGCCCTGGCTACACCAAAGTTATTCCAAGTTCTGCCACTGTCGCCAGCGACTTCAGAATTTCACCCTTTACATGTGACCATTCTTTGGCCATGGAGAAGGTAACACCATTGTGTTAACATTCTTAAAGATCAAAGAGGAATTTTAAATATTTCTATTTTTTCTAAGTACGAGCTTTTCAGCAAGGAGCAGCAACCTTAACCAGAGCAGGCTGTATCTAAACAGAGATGGTGGTTTGTTCTCCATACTCATTTAATCCTTGGCTTGTCTGAAAAGACTATACAGAATATACGGAAAGTGAGGTAGTTCTCCTTCACCGGAACATAACGCTCATCATCCTGATGCTTTCTCCATACACAAGTTAAGCTTAATGGTAATCTTCAAAATAGAAGCATGGACTATAACACTCTTCCATTTTGATCAATTAACTTTTAAAAGACTTTAACCGTTAAAAATCCATTGCCTGGATTACGACTCTTTGGCTGTCATGTGAGAATACCACTGCTGCTTTCCCAATTGAGATACAACATAGTAAGCCACAATTTATTCAAACAAAACTGTGGACTTGGAAGTTTTCCAGACAAACAAAATCTTCCAGGGAACCATTATATACATGCTGAGGGACATAACACAGTATTTGAGAGAATTCTGAGGTAAGTAAGATCTTATGTCAACTGATCCCTACAAATCTGATGGAGTTGGTGTCATCTACCACTTGCCATCCAATTACATCAACTTCAGTATTTGTTAAAAGCTGTATTATAACCAGCAGCTAGCCATTTATCAACCAGACACATAGAGCAAACAATCGAAAGAGCTTCTTGTGTTCCTTTGGAGCTAAACCCCACTTCACCCTTCTGCTGCATAGACAGGGCCAGTAGTCACAAAATGCGATCAGAGACACAGACTTTGCCAGATCCCCAAACTGGCCACATAGCCTACTGACATACCAACTCCAACTCACCAGCAGAGTAACTTCTGCTCTTCTGTCATCTACTCTGTGTCACTGTAGTGATGCAAAGGCAAGCACATCTAAAACACTACTGCTCCACTACTGTGAGCAAACTTGGGGGAAGGGCGTGGAGAGAACGGAACTATTAATTCCTGCTAACTGTATTGAAACCAAACATGCTACTCTAGCCCACTCATACAAATTTGTTCCCTTTAAAAAACAAATCCACAAAGATCTGTTCCACCACCTTTTTTTTGTTGTTCCTCCAAAGAGTACTAGTGTAAAGTTAACTGATAGCATTAGGCAGAACTTGCAAGTTAACTTTCCCCTCCACCTGCACTTGATCCTGGTGTGTTATGCAAACTGAGAACCTATGAAAATACACCAGTTCCTGAAGCATTTGCACATGTTCCTCATCTTCACCTCATTCTTAAGTTACACTGGTAGATTCTGCTCCTTTAGAGCAAAAGGAAACAGTACTACAGATGGCTCAACTCTTCCCTTAGAAACTGTTTGTCTTTCATGCTCAACGCTAATTCACTCAGTTAGAATACACTTACTTGTTCCAAGTACCAAAGCTAAACTTTATGTTGTTACTGAGACATTTTCCTCTCCTCCAGTCTGTCCTATCCCTAGCTGTATTACCCATCTTCTTACTTCAAACTGGCTTAAAGAAGGGGCTCTGAATATTAGACCTTGGTTAGCTTTATGAAGGGGGCTAACATCAGAAACAGTTATTTTCCTTAAAGCAGGAAAGATTCAACTGAGCTATAGCTGACACAAAAACTGCAGAGAGCAAGAAAGGAAGAAAGGAGCACTATGATCTTTAACCTCTTAAACAAAGAAAAAGAAAGAACAAAAAGTGAGGGGAAAAAAACCCAAGACAATGGTGACATGAAATGAAGCACCAAAGGAAAAAGACTAGAGCATCTCTGCCGTTATGATCTACTCCAACCAATGCCGCTCAAGCGGTCAGATTTCAAGTTCCACATAACAGAATCCTCTCTGGAGCCACAAAATCATCATCTTTGACAAAATCATCGTCTTTGAGACAGAGGCTAATTTACCTGTATGACTGCTGCTCAAATACCACATTATTTTAGTGCCCACCAGAATGGTAGTGGAGAACACAACCAGTTACAGACATGACTTGTTTTCCATCCAGTGTACTTCATAGTTATGAATGAATGTTTCTAAAACCACGTCTGCGTCCAACAAAATTCAGCCACAAAGGAAATCAGTGCAAAGCCCTTTTTGTTCTCTCAGTGGTGTATGATGTATAAAGATGCTAGACAGACTCTACAACTCCGTATGCACGGAGCATAACAGTATGCACGGACACCCACACAGAGCAGATCCACAGCCAGATCCTTCTAGTTGAAAACGGAACTGCCATTAAAACGCCAGTCCAGAATTTGTTTGCCCAAGAAACTAAAATGAGCATCCCACACTAGTAAGACAGGAGACGAGTATGAGTCCTGGTCACCAAAGATGCTAGTCAGACTATGAGAGAGGAGTGCTTGGGAAGCAGATTAAGAGCATCAGCTGCGGGACATACAGTAATAGTTGAAGTACTCTGAACAGCAGCCAGAGCAGGACTGGTTTAAAAAAAAAAAAAAAAAAATGCTTCTCTACAACACTTAGTGCCAAGAAACAATTTCAGAGGAAAGCTACTTTGGTATCAGCAGGCTCACAGAAAGCCAAGTGTGTTGGCACCAGTTGCGAAGGAAGAAGACTACTACAAGAAAACTGAAAGAACGAAGCTTTGGAGATCTGCTTTTCTTTTTCTCGCTTGGAAAGCCTGCCTACCAGGTGGGTTTCTGAACTTCTTATGTAAATACTTCAGCCATAATAGCTTCAGGCCCAGACTACTAATCATTTATCTTGGAATGTGGATGGTCTTAAAACTCATTCAAACTTCGCTTCACTATTTTTAATTGTGTTATGGTTTTAGAGCAATCGTATACTTCTAGTAAACTTCAGTGCTGTACTATGTTCCATGCTCCATGGCATTCAGAAATAAACCATATAAAATCAGTCTCTTCATATAAAGAGACTGACAATTTATTCAGCAGTAATTACTGTAAAAAGCTTTAGTAGCAAAGCAAAACTCATTTTATTGCAGCTCTTACCATATCTGGCCAATATTGCTCACTTCATTCAAAATCTGAGTTTAAATAAAATAGAAAGGCAAAACAAGAGATTTAGTCTAATAAACAGTGCAATTTAGTCATTGCTTATATTAAAAGAAAGTTCCTTGGTATAACCTCTTTCACAGTGTGTACTTTAAATAAGCTTAAGAGTTAGCTACATACATGCACAGAAAAATAAAAACTTGGGTCACTGCTTTCCACTTATGCACAGGAGGAACAGCATTTTCCATACCATCTCTTTCTATGTCTTTTCCATCTCAAATTCTTGCTTTTGCAGCTCTTCTGCCTATTACTTTAGCCACAGAAGTATGCCATTGCTATATATTAGGCTTAACACCTGTGTTGATCAGAACATGTATATCGTTTCCACTGAGAAAATGCAAATGAGCAAACCTTTTTGTGTTGATGGTCATGTAGTGCTAGTCTGGGAAGACCAGAAATTAATTTAAATTAAATTCAGAGGAGTGTTTTCTTTCATCTTTATTTGCTAACCTTGTTTTGCAGTCCAGAAATGAAGGGGTTTCTAAATGCAGAGTTTTAATACTTATATTATTTAACTTCTGTTATGAAAACTAAACTCACTGGATGTGAAATCAGATAGGTCAACTCTGACAACCAACTGTCTTATGAGTTAATCTCGGCCATAAGAATTCCAAGGCCCATTTCAACTAGGGTCTGTACTAGGAACTTCCCCCAGCCCCCATGAGGCAATAATGACATGAGAAGAGCTCTAAGCCATAACTGAACTAAACAGCTATTTTGCAAATCATATTTTTCTTTGAGAAATGCATTTTTACTGCTGGGCTACTCACATGTGAGTTGTAAGCACATTAAACAAGCAGTTTCCTTGGATTAAACTGTCTGGAAAAGCAGATGGCATAAGATGGGAGCATCCTTCCTGGTAAGGTGGGGTAAGACAGGACCACTCCCCCAGTAATATCAAGGTAATAAACCTCAGGGAAGAGTGCTGGATGAGACTGCAATCAAATATTGTTTATCAACACTAAAAAAAAAGGCAAAGATAAAACCTTAAGAGCAAAAGAAACTTTGCCTCAAGGGAACCTCATAAAGAATTAAGAAACAAAGTAGAGGAGAAAAAAAAAGGCATTCACAAGCATTTACATTAGCAACTAAGGTACACAACACCTAATGACAGGCAGTTTCTGAATGCACACCTCTGGCTACACGTGGGCTCCTGCAGTCCGGCTCTCCCTCTGGGCTGTGGGGACCCTCCTCATTGTATTTAGGTACTGGGACAACACATCCCAGAAAAGTCCAGCTATTTTTTTTCCCAAACAGAAAAACCAATATTCACTAAACGACCTGAGAACTTTATCCTGACCCCAGTAGGACTAGCATCTCCACGGATGAAATCTAGTCCTTAGACGTTACAACCCGTCCACAGGGCAAGATGGACCATTTCCACAGCATGCACGCAGGCAGGCATGCACGTATCTAGGGTAACGATTACTTACGCAGCTCTCCCCATTAACTTTTACAAATTCTGCTGCAAGCTACACTGGATTGATGTCAATCACATCAGCCTGGTTTCACACCAACATGGCTGAAAGGGGAAATCTGACGCTAAGGCAATTAACTCCCCCCTCCCCCGGCCGCCCCCGTAAGGGAGAGCTACAGCCTCTCCG